GCTTAACTCATGCAGGATCTTCACAGCTGCAAAAATTAGTAGTAGAGCTGTCAGTGAAACCCAGAACCCCTACTCCCTCCACATCAAGCTTCCAGAAACAGAATGAAAGGAAAACAGTATCTGAGAGAGAGATACACCAAGTAAAGTAACTGAGAAATCTAGTAGGATATGAGAAGATAAAAAGCCAACGAAAAAATACCAACTGCTCAAAAAAGAGGAAGGGAGCAGTAAGACTTCACTAAGAGTCCAAAGATACTGTCATCTTCTTGACAGCACTCAGGAGTACTGGGAATAACTGTGAGGCGTGGGCCCTTTGAGACCTTCTGATCATTGCTCCTGGGGCATCTGGGGGTAGAGATTCCAGTGCCTTTTTGCCAATGCAAGAATTTGCAGGCCTTTTGACCATTGGTACTCTCCACTTTGTTCATTCTCTCAGTCTTATCTTGAGCCAGAAAGAGCATCTGCTCAGGTACCGTGACACTCAGAGAATTAAGAGTAGGCCCAGAGGCAATGAAATTGACTGCTGACTGCTCAAATGTGCTTTAGTCTACAGGGAGAAGAGACCTTCCGGTTTCCTGCTAGGTTGCCCAGCCCATTTTGCCATGGTAGGAAAGGGACCTGATTTAAGGCCAATACTCCACTGAGGAATAAAGATTCTATACACCCGGCTGGAAAACCCATTCGCATACAGAGATTATGAGTATAGCAGATGAGATACAGGAAGGACTCCAACTATAATGATACAGAGGATGGAAAAGAGGCTACACTGTCAGGTGCTGAATTCATCCGGGAAGGTCGTGTGTGATGGGCGTTAGTGCTGGAGAAGGGGAACAGACGAACACTATGGATTCTGTAGAGACAAGGATTACTCACATTATTTGCTGTTGCATACTCATCTGTCAATGTGGTATGAACTCAAATGTATAAAACAACATTCTCACTGAGTTATGAAAACAGGTATTTTTATTCTCTTTTCTTTTTCCCCAATATTTTCTAAACTTTCTTCAATTAGCATTTTTTAATATTTTGGTACCATGGTATATTAGTCCTCTCAACTGACCCAACTGGGGACAGGAGTTGGATCACTGAGAAAAATGCTGGATAAAGTAGGACGCCCCGAAGTATGACTATTATTGTAAATACTAACTTCAAAATGCACATCTGAATATATAATTATCCTCTGCCAACGTTTTCAGATGTGGCCAAAGCCTTTTCCTTCAATATGGATCGGTTTGGGGTTCTAGGTCACCTTTCTTAGATAAACTATGCCACATATATCTGTGAATTCCTATCCCTATCCCTTTAAAAAGTAATAAACTTAAAGATACTTGTGAAGCAACATGAACTCAGGTTCTTCCTGAGATTTTTACTCAGCGCTGCCCTGCAACCTAAGAGCTATCTGTTCACTGTCATTCCTTACATTTTTAAGAGACTCTTCTTTATCAAGTCTTTCCAAAGCATTCAACTTGATTTTAATGGAGATAAGTCTCTTTTCTGTACTCCCATTTCTTCCGTTTAAATAATACTGAAATAAATTATGGAGTCACAACAGGTGGAAAACTTATACCAATGGTCTGAGGACAAGTAAATGGCCCTTGGTAAGCATCCACCTCACCAGGTGGAAAAAGCACAACAGCATTCTAGAAAGTATGCACAAGCATACTGAGTGTGCTGTGGGTATGAGTAGGCACGATTTGTGAAGGGAATGAAGGGTGGCAGAAGAGTTGATTGTGTGAACGTAGCTTGATGTGTTTATGCACTTTCAGAAACTGAAACCACCCTCCGCTGCTCAGTTCCTTACGGAAAGGAGCTGTCGAAAGACGAACAACCTGGTTTGAAAGATGCAGTGGGGGGAGCAGGGAGCACGCGAGCCCTTCCTCTTTACCACATGAGTGTGGGGCAGGAGTGTGTGTGCAAGCGTGGGTGTTGGGGAAGTGGTGATCTGAGTGGCCAAGGAGCACAGGGGGTGACTGTCACAGGCCCCGGCATCGCCAGGAATCCAGGCTCTACGTTATGTGGACAAGTGGCAGGAATGATTACATGAGGACACTGCCGAAGCTTCATTCACAGCACAACAGTGGTGCCCCTGGGTAAAAAGTGGAAAACGGCCGGAGAAAGAGAGGAGTCAGAGGTGTGAGTAAGCACAGGAGGAGGAAGGGGACGATGTGGCCCGTGGTCAGACCCTGACTCCGAAGGACAAAGAAATCAGGAGGCTGTGAGGTAGCCCGGAGGCCTAAACTTCCCACTTTCAGTCCAACTGCTTTGCACCTTCAGCTAGATTTCACTACAAAACTGCTGTCCCTAGGAGGGATGCAGAAGTGGTTAAGAGCAATTCCGGCCCTTGAGAAATTTACGGTGCAGTCAGAGAGCCCAACAGAAGTACAGGTAAGGCCACGACTGGAAGTACAGAACAGGGCGGGGAAGAGCAGCGCCGACAGGAAGTGCCGCAAAACGGCAGAGTCTTTGCACCTGAAGAGTCAAGGGCAGCAGGCTCCTCCTCCTCCTCTCCTCCGACCTGACTTCCTGACCCACGTTAGCGCCACTTCATCTCTCTGTGCCACGGAAGGGCTACCAGGTGCCCAGAATGCTCTTACTTATCTAGTTGCACTGATTCATGGTTTAAATCTCTCTGAAAGGGAATGAAAGACTGAAGAAACAATGAGATGATAAACACGGGTCTGTATAAGGACTCCTCACATACCCATTACCAACCTCAACAGTTTTCAACACGTGCCCAGTCTTTTCTCTTTGTGTCATTTTGAGGCAAAACCCACATGTCATTCTACATGTGTTAACATGTCAACAATAGCATTCTAGAAGCTAGGATGCCCTTAAAAAACATAATCACAATACTGGTATCACACCTAAAAAATGAGAAGCCAAACGACGATGATCCAGGACCACCATTAGTAAACTTGCCTGCAGTCCTTACTGGGTGCGAGCCCTGCTTCAGGAGCTCTCTCTATATTAACTCATTTAACCCTATGATAAAGATGACTTACCGAAAGCACCATTTTATAGGTGAAGAAACTGAGGCCCAAAGAAGTTAACATAACATGTTCAAGGTTGCCCAGCTAACCCAAGTGTCCATCAGCTGATGAATCAACAAAATGCAGTATATCCATACAACGGAACGTTACTCAGCGGTGAGGAATGAAGTACTAATCCATGTTGTGACACGGAGGACCCTTGAAGACACTCTGCTAAGTGAAAGAAGCCAGACACAGAAGGCCACGTATTGTGTGATTCCACTTACGTAATGTGTCCAGAATAGCAAATCTAGAGAGAGTAGACCCGTGGTTGCCGAGGGCTGGGTGGGGGGAAGCGCTGGCCAGCGGTCATGGAGTCTCTTTCCCTGATGAGGACGGTGTGAAGTTGATGGCGGTGATGGATACACGGCTGTGCACCTGTGCTGAACCACTGAAAACCACTGAATTGTGTGTATACTTTAAAATGGGTGACTTGTATGGATATGAGAATTCAATCTCAGTAAGGCTGTTTTTAAAAAAGTAAATTATCAAAAGGTTTAACATTTATCAAACCAAGGAATATTCATGGACCATCTTAAAGGTATATACTACATTCTATATGAGTTATAAAATATATGTAAAACATAAAAGCAGACCTCAAATTGCTTATAGTTCAAAGAAAAGGCATATATGCAGTACATAATAATGCCCTTTTGCTTTCCGAATTTGTGCCTTTTTCTCTAAGGGCAGTCAACTACCTGAACCAGGCTTTCTGATTCATAAAAGCTATTGGGCTAGGGTCTGATGAACACACGCTAGAAAAAGACTGATCCTGCTCCCCTTCCACCCTGGGACCTGCAGAGGTCATGATCAACCACAGGGTTACCTTGTGAGTGAGCAATCTATAGGATTCTTAGGGAGCTGAGGCTGGGCCTATTCACCTTATAATTGAAATAATTTGAGTAGATGTATCTTACCTAAACCAAGGCCGGAACAGCTCAAAGATCCTTGGGTGAGCTAAGGCCACCATGCCTGGGTCCTTCTCCCTGGGTTTAGCAATGCCCAGAGTAAACAAACAGTACAGGTTTTCCTTACCGATAGCCACTGAAGGTCTGGTCTGTTCCCCCAATGGGGAGGCTGCACCTACTAGGCCACCTCCCTTGGCCCTCTAAGCTCAAACAGCAAAGGTCACTCTGCTTGAGGTGGGCTTGAGAGCTTCACTAAGAAGACAAGGCCCTCGTCTGCTTCCTACTGAGCTACACAGTTCAGAAAAAGTAGGAGCATCTAAGATCTGTGATGAAAATCGGGAAAGCTGTGGTCATGAAAACTTGTGGGTGTTTAGAGGAGAGAGAGGAAGGCCACAGTAGGAGATCCAATCTTGGGAAGGGTATTTTGGGGATCAAAAAACCTGAAAAAAAAACCCTGAAAAGGTCCAGGCACCTGGTGGGTCACTTACAACCAGGAAGGCTTTCCGGAGGTAACACTTACCTTAAATGAATAATGAGGAAACTGCTGTTCAAATTCAAAGTGCCTGGGTACCAAGGACGTATGGCTGTGGGGCTCTGTTCTACCCTAAGGCTACTAGAACAGTGTCCAACCAGCCCGATGGCCAGTGAACCCGTGAAGCTCACATGCCACACAGATTCCCAAACCTGGGGTGCACACCAAAAACATGCTGGAATTTTACAAACATGTGAATTTAGCCGAACTTTAGAACATGGATTTGCATTTTCTGGAAGTTTCAGATAATGGGAGTAATCAAAACTTCGAATGTTTCTTAAGCTAACAACCATTTAGTGTTTAAGACAAAACTAGTCAATGAGGTAGAAACTCCCATTTCAAACACGGCTAATTATGCATCTTTTCCTGAACTGCCCAGAAAGAACACCTATTTGGCACAAGTGGCTTGGGCCCAGAGTGGCCTGATGAATCAGCCCAGAACTCAGCACCATAACATTATGGCCGAGTTGCCTCATTTAAACCACAGTCCTACTTGGGCTACAATCACTAACATTATAGTGGTCTCCTTACCTTTCACAACATCAGCCACATTGCAGGTGGGATCAATACTTCCAATGTGTTTAGGATGAGCAGGGTTAGTGTCACCACCAAACAGAAGTGCTAAACAAACACAGAAGGGAAGGGAGAGATTAAAAACAAAGCAGGCAATGTAGCTTACAAGTTTTGAAAGGATTGTCTTATTTGTAAGAATCATTTTAGCATCTAGAGTGAGTGACTTAAAGCTAGAGAACACATACAATGAGGGGTGATCAGCTCTACTGGACAGCAAAGGAGGAAGGCCATGCTCTAAGATCTGCTGGTTGCAGTTAGCAGGTCTGAAAGCAGTAACACGTGCCAGGGGTCCAGCCCTTTTCTCCCTGACCCCATGTGACTTGGATGAAAAAGTTCTTTTCCTCCTCAGCCAAGTTTACTCACCTTCTCGGTACTACTCCCGACAGTGATTCCAACATTCACTACGTATTTAGAAAATGCAGCCTGCGAAGTGACTTCACTGTGAACATTTTAAATGCCTCCATCACGGGGAGTAGTTTTCAAATATTCTTTTTTTGTTCAAGTATCTTTCAAACTACATTCAAGGGACGCCTGGTGACTCAGTTGGTTAAGTGACTGCCTTTGGCTCAGGTCATGATCCTGGAGTCCCTGGATCGAGTCCCGCATCAGGCTCCCTGCTCGGCAGGGAGCCTGCTTCTGCCTCTGACCCTCCCGTTCTCATGTGCTCTCTCTCTCTCTCATTCTCGCTCTTTCAAATAAATAAAATCTTTTAAAAAAAACTACATTCAAATACTTCCACAATACACAAGATTTACAAAATATTGCTTCTGAATAAAAGCCAAAAGGAGCCCCAAAGAGAAAAGTAATCTGAATCCAAATGTTTATAGGTGTACTTATTTTCAAATCAAACAAAAATTGGGAATAACTTAAGATTCCACAAAAGGAGAATTTAAATTAGGGGATAAAATAGGGAAGATTTTGGGACACCTGGGTGGCTCAGTTGTTTAAGCGTCTGCCTTCGGCTCAGGTCATGATCCCAGAGTCCTGGGATCGAGCCCTACATCGGGCTCCTTGCTCCGCAGGGAGCCTGCTTCTCCCTCTGCCTGCTGTTCCCCCTGCTTGTGCTCTCTCTCTTTCTCTCTGACAAATAAATAAATAAATAAATAAAATCTTTAAAAAAAATAGGGGAGATTTTAAATTATGAAAAATGACAAATAAGGGCATTAGGCCAATACATAAACTTCCAAATGATTAAATGGAAGAAAAACAGAGGTGTACAAGCTTATCAGTGATTTAAAAACATGTACATATATACGTAGACAGACACATTTAGGTCAAAAAGAAATTGTAGTTATGTAAGTAGCTTAATTGAATAGTAATTAGGTTCTTTTTTCATTTAAATTTCCTATAAACTGTCAGACATTTCTATTTTTAAAAGATATACATTTGGGACCAACCCACACGTAATAATTGTATAACACTCACTAATCCAAATAAATCAAATTAATAGAGATGCTCTGCCCATTTTCTGCTTCAGCAAAGAGGATGATTTAGATTCTAGACATGCAGATGCTTTTTCATAAGAATTATGAAATCAGGCAAAGAGACAATGCTGAAAATGAGCCAAAAAGTTTTTTTTGTGGCAAGAATTTTAGTTGTTTTTTTTTTTATCTGCTTAACATCCTGGTGAGTGGACTAAAACTCTCCATATGAGACTATGGTTTGACAATCTGCTTAATCTGATTTCAATGATCACCGTGAAATTAAAGATCAATCGCTCAGATGTCAAAATGCCAATTCAATATTCCCAGTATCAGTGTTTTCAAAACCAAAAAGAAAAACATATAACATCCTGGATAAAGACGAGAACCCACTCTCAGAGACACATCAAAGTACTCTCTCACCCTTACCAGGAATGTAACAGCAGAGGCTTAAAAGGCAGGCAGAGTTCCTGCCTCTAATATGAACATCAAAATTTCAAGGATTTCCATTAACAAAGAACACTAATGAAGAGCTTTTTAATAGATAGGATTTACTTAGGAAAAACTAAACTAGAAATGAAATTTCTTTCTTTTTTTTTTTAAGATTTTATTTATTTATTTGAGAGAGAGAGACACAGCAAGAGAAGGAACACAAGCAGGGGGAGTGGGAGAGGGAGCAGCAGGCTTCCCGCCGAGCAGGGAGCCCGATGTGGGGTTCGATCCCAGGACCCTGGGATAATGACCTGAGCCAAAGGCAGACATTTAATGACTGAGCCACCCAGGCGCCCCTAGAAATGAAATTTCTACAGACCAAACTTCAGATCAGTAAATTCTAAGTGAAGCAACAGGAAAACATTTGGGAGAAATCACTCTGGGTGCCCTTTCAAAAGTGGATCAAAAACCCAACTTACTGTGCTGGTTAATAAGCATGCGGAAAGAGATGCGGTTGGTATAGAACCGATCTAGAAAATACTGGATGTTACTGCTAATGAATGGATCAAACCCAAATTTCTCCTTGTATTCAATCACTCCTTGTGCCATTGTAGGAACCACATCGTTGTGTCTATTTCTGACTTTAATGAGAACTTGCAGAAAGCTGTGTGGGAGGGAAATAAAAAGTGGTCAGTCTTTATACCTCACGCACTGATGCATAAACTTCCCAGCGCTGTCTCTGGACTATTTAGGTGCTGGTATTTTTATAAGTAGAGAGATTATCATTATGGGCTACAAGGAGAAACTAAAGTATTACCCAAGGTTTTGCTTGGAACTTTCTATCCAAATTCTTTCACAGACACAAAAAGTAAAAGGTTCTAGTAAAGAAAAAATGTTTAAATACCTTCTTAGGAATCCACTGACTTTATGGAAAAGTGATCACATATAATACAGGTTCCATAAATGTTTGCTGAATAATTGTAGAACACACTAACATTTCTTCTGACAACATGAGGACAATCCCCCCAAATTTCCAGGGATTTATTAGAAAGTCTCAAAGCAACAGCTTCCATGAATAAGTAATGTGAAACTTTTTAAGAGTAAAATTTTGAAATGAATTTCTCATAGCAGTCAAATACAGTGATGAAATGTAGACAGAAAAAAGGCAATTAAAACAAACCGAGTCAAGAATTATGGTATATTACTATAAAGATACAGAGGGAAAAATATACTAAGAACGGTAACTAAGAACAGAGAGACAAGTCGATGGAACCAAACAAAAAGCTTGGAACAAGGCCCAAGGGCAAGTAAGTATGTGTGCATAAAAATTTAGCATATTGATAAAGTGACATTCCAAGTCAGTAGGGAAACCATCAAATTAGCTGGGACAGCTGGCTACCAATTTAAGTCATGTCCCAATTTCAAGCCTTAAGCTAATAACTTAGTTAAAAGGTTTAAACATAAAAGAATAAAATCACAGAAAAAAAATAAAAGAAAATCAGGTGAATAAGTAGATAGTACAGTATGCCTTGGGGTAAGGAAGGCTGTCCTAAGCTTAATACCACAGGTAGAACCCTGAAGAAACAAACGATAGGACTATGCAGAATTTCAGCATAATTCTACAGGGATACAGGTTATTAAAGTCAAAAAAACAAAGTGAAAACTGGGGAAAATACATTTGCAAGAGCTACTGTCTTTAATGAAGGAAAAGATGAGCACCCTAACAGGAAACGAGGCAAGGGATCCGGTATCAATGGGAAATTTACCACAGAGGCAATGCAAATGCCAATAACTTCCCCCTTCAAAAAGAGTAATAGAAAAGCAAAACAATGCAGAATTAGTCTCCACTCATCACACTGGCAGAGAATAACCAGTGTCCTCTAGAGTGTGGAAGCATAACTGATACATTTCTAGGGGCAACTGAGCAACATATATCAAAGACCAAAGAGATTCATTCCACTCCCAGGAATTGATCCTAGGAAAACGACAGAATTCTTAAGAGCCCTGTTTAGAGAAGCAAGAAAAATACAAACCATTCTACAACTCAATGACAGGAGGTCAAATCACATGACTTACCTGTAGACGGACCATTTTGAAACCATTAGTAATGGTATAGAGATCTATAATGTCCACAGTTATTTTTGTAAAACATATTGTGCACATATAAAAATATGGATGCCTAGGAAAAAGTACGGAATGAAAGGAAAATGTTAACGGTGGTTGTCCCCTGGTAATGGAAATTTGGAGTGACTTTCTTTTCACTTATCTGAATAGTCTTAACGTTTCTCAGTGATGAAATACTCCTGTAACAAATACACACACACAAAGACAGCAGAGATGAATAAATCAACTCTGAAACTGGAAGGTCATAATTATTCACAAGAAATTTGATAATGGACAATCTGTCCTCTACATAATGTTCTTTCTAACGTATTTATAAATTCAGTATCACTCAAGTGAAAGATTTCATTACAGCAGAGAAGCACCTCAACTTAGCAGAAGGGAGGAGACTTGCCTCAAGGGCTCGATTCTCAGAACGCTTTCCCCGGTCTTCTGGGGTCTTCTTAACTTTATCATTAAGAGAAACAAGCCTGTTCTCTAAGCTGCTTTCACCTCAGTTAAATGATCTCCGTGCCTGGGACTCCTGTACAGCTTCTCCCGGACTGGAAAAGGCTACCACTATGAGTAAAGCAACTAGCTCACCTTCCTTTCCTTCCTTTGCCAGGGGCAGCGGGCTTCTGAAACCCCAGCTATCCCGACTAGCTGTGTGAACCTGGGCAAGTCACCAAAACTCACTGAGGGAGAGCGATTATCATTATGATCTCACACGCACTGGATCCAGCACTTGGCAGTTTCCAAAGTGGGCTCATGTCCATAAATTGCATCTGACCAATAACCTGTTCCAGAAACTGAGACAGGATTCTGGGAAACATACGGCAGCAATTTAATATTATTTACTTCCACAAATCTATACCCTAAAATTTGAAGCTAGAGAAGTCAGTCCTAATTTCTAGGATGTCAGCAAAACAAACTGTTACTAGCTAATGACTTGTGAGCAAACAAAGCTTCTGGATTCGATTCCTTTAATTTCAGTACGTTAAATGAGAGCAATGGCCTCTAGCAAGAACATTGCATCTGGGGCTCTAATTCAACACCTCCCTTTCACAAATCACAAATCCATTTGCAAAACACCTAGCAAAGTATACAACAGGTGGGTATTCTTCCCCCTTGTATTTTAATTTACAACTAAACTGGAGCTCGCTACTCAGGGCGCACACTGGCGGTTCTCGCAGTTGGTAAGTTGTGCACAACAATGCATGATGGAACTGGAACAAGGATTTACAGATCCAGCTCTGCTACCAACTCATGTTACAACTTTGGACAAGTCATTGCTCTTCTCTGACCTCAGTTTCCTTATCTGTGAACTGGAAGGGTTGGGTTGAATGCCTCGAGCTATGGGGTGCTTTTCTAACAGTGTTTCTTAGTTCTTTTTCTGGGATGCCTATATGTAAGGTGTTTGGTGTCACAACTCTGTGGACCAGGATTCTCCATAGAAAAAAATTCTTCAGCACAACAGGCCTTCCATGTGCAGTCCCTCGTGTGTACGTGAAACAGGAGGAAAGTAATGTGAAGGGGATACTTAATTTCTCTTGGGGTAAAAAAAAAAAAAAAAAGACAACACTCGGAGCTAGGGTGAGTGTTTTTTCAGTTCAATGAAGATGAAAAAACAGAAACATTTTCCATCAGCTTGAGAAGTTAGCAGCCTTTGTGCGGAACATGAGCAGAGAATTCAGGTCGTTATATTAAAAGCACACTCTTTTATGCTACTCCAAAATAAAAGCATTACAGTTTTCCTGAGCTCAACTATTATGCTGCACTGAAAATTTGTTTTAAAAATTGAAAAAAAAAATTTGTAAAGGACTGAGTAGGTAAATTCAGGTCTATCCAGAGGCCACTGCATTCTTAAAACTACCACTAGGTGGTACATTTACTGCAATATTTATAGTGAGTGGCCGGCACCAGTTCACCAGGAGCGAAAATTTATTAAGATCTAGATCATGAAACATAATTTAAAGGGTCCTTATTCCTTTTGTGCTATGTTAAATTAACGTAAATTATTTAAAAATGTGATATTGAGTTGTTACCCATTAACAAACTTAATGCTTTCATCCAAATTACACTTCTTGGTTCTTAATGACATGAGTTCCATTTACCAAAACATTTTTTAACCTGGATGTTTTTACTGTCAGGTAAGTTTGGTACCATACTTACTTATCCAAGACCTGTGGATCTTCAGGGCTCTTATTCTCGTATTCTAAAAGTTCAAGAAAGCTCTGCATATACCTAAAAAAAGATGAGTTACTCTGTTAATTGCCTACCCAACATCCATTCCTCCTTTCCCTCTTCCTAAGAGAACCCTAAATCTTCACTCAGGTATCTACCCCATTCCCCACCATCACCAATTGCAGCCCAAGTGCTGCAGGGGAAGCCGATGCCATGCAAAGCTCCTGGGTGGCCTGATTTTTCTCTGGGTAATAGTATTTTTCTCGTCACTGATTACTAACTAGTCCAGTAGTCTAGGCCTAAGCCTGTCATTGCATTGCATTCCCCTGAACAAAGGGACTGGCTCAGGAATGGGCACACTACCTCAATTCAGGCCAGTAAAATAAAAGGGAAGACGTGGTGGGGGTCTCTGGGAGAGAAATTAACTTGCTCTGCTTTTTGTACAGTGGGCTATGTAGATGTAAACCCTGGAAAGGTTGCAGCTGTTCTGCCACCAGGAGGAAATCCAGCCTGAAAATAAAGCCGACACCATGGAAAGCAGGGCCTTGATAATCTCATGAATTCTCTAAATCAACCAACACCAAAAGCTCATCCTATAGCTACACGAGCCAATGTATGGTTTAGTTGGATTTTCTGCTACTCACGAACATATTCTAACTGTACACCAAATCTACAGTTTGATTAGCCAAGATGTGCATATGAATTGTAAGAAACACAGGTGTGACACTAAAGTGCATGCTGAGAACTTCAAAACTAGAAATAAACAGTTCCTTCTCAGAGTTAAACTAATCTCATCAACACTGCAGAGGAGGAGACGGAATGCCTCTTAGGTCCTCAGAAACAGCTTCTGGATTAAAAATAGCTACATACCTCAATCAGGGCCAGGACAGGAAATAATGTGTGCAAAATAAATATCTGGAGAACACAGAAAAATGGGATCCAGAGAGGCACATTACTGAGGCAGCTATATCCGGACAGAACCTGCTGGATCTGGAGGAGATTCGGAGATGCCAATTACTCAGAGGTGTGTCATCTCTGCTTTGGATCTGAACATGCCCCGAAAGAATTATCCCTTGATATAATTATTTCTAACAATTAATTACCACTAATCCTCCTATCCAGCTTTGGAGGGAGGATGAGGGTACTCCAGTAACAAAAAATGACTGCAAAGCATATAAATACATGAACAGGAATAACGTTTTATTAATCAGCCTCACTTGAACTTTGTAATGATGTGTGATACTAAAGTATGTTCATCTCTGGATATCCTTTTTAAAAGCTTCTGGGCAAATCAGGCTATGGATTAGGCACTGTTGAAATCATCAGGTCAAACCTCCCGCAGAGGGCAAAGTCAGCCAGAGGCAACAAGGCCCTCTATCCTGTCACACGCCAGCAGGATTCTAGGGAGATAAGCAGTTCACTTAAAGAGCAGAGTCATGAGTGGAGAGGAGCCAAAGATGCTGCTGAGCTTCCCAGCCTGAAAGTCAAGAGAACAAGGAGAACACACTCTAGCTGAGGTGAGCTTCATGGCCTATTATGAGTAAGAGTCACTTTTAAGAGGAAAAGGAAATGACAGCTAAGCACAACGTGTGATCCTAAACTGGATTCCTGCATTGGGGAGGCGGGGATTGCTGGGGGCGGGGGAAAAAAGAGCACTATTGGGGCACCTAGGTGGCTCAGGCGGTTAAGCGTCTGCCTTTGGCTCAGGTCATGATCCCAGGGTCCTGGGGTCCAGCCCCGCATCGGGCTCCCTGCTCAGCGGGGAGTCTGCCTCTCCCTCTCCCTGCCACTACCCCCCTCGTGCTCTCTCTCACTCTCTCTCAAATAAATAAATAAAATCTTTTTTAAAAAAGAGCACTATTAGGGCAATTAATGAAACAAGAACAAGTTCTCCCACATTAGAAAATATTACTAAATCCATGTTAAATTCCCAAATCTGATAATCATACTGTGGTTTTCTAAGAGTTGTTCTAAGGAGATACATACCAAAGTCGTTAGGGGTAGAGGGGCATGTCTGCCATTAACCCAAATGGTTTAGGGAAAAAAATAGTGTGTATCATATATGTTATGTGTGTACCACGTCTGATATACCCTAAGTGTACACACACACACACACACACACACACACGTCCAGAGAGAGCGAGCGCGAATATGAATGAGAACAGCAGGACAAATGGCACCGGATGTTAACAATTAGTGAATCTGGGTGAAGGTATATGGCAATTCTTGCTACTAGTCTTGTACATCTTTCTGTTATATAGGAAATTATTTCAAAATTGATTTTTTTTTTTCAAAAAAAGGAAGAAGTGACGTGCATGTGTTGGGGATGGCTACAGAAGAGAAATGTGAGACAAAAAAAAAAAGAGCTGACCCCAGCATTTAAGTCTATACTTCGCCAGCTGAATCACTTTGAGGCCCCCGAAGTAACTTTTACATAAGCGATAGGCAGCGTGACTGTCAGTCACTGCCACCAGGCCCAGGGAACTTGAAGGCCAGCTAGTCAACCTCCAATCCCCACCACAATGACCCCAATACTGACTGTACACTTTCTGCGGGAAAATTTCGGATGATGCTCTTGAAGCAAGAAAGAAATTTCAGGCAAACAAGCACTCGCTGCTCCTGCTGGAACAAACTCTGCCTCTGGGGTAGGAAGCAACGGAGGAGGAGAGCGAAGTGTTTCTCGAATATATGTGAATCCCTTTCTGAAAATACACCACCTGCTCTTACATCCTACCACTCACCGACCTCACCCTGCTTACCTAGTGGGTAGTTGAGTCACAAATTCAACTTCCTCAATTAAATAACACATGTTTGCTGCATCCGAGCTGTACGTCATCAAACTTTATGTCATTCTCTGTTGAGATTTTTTTTTTTATTTTTCATAAGGCAAATGAAGCACATTACGTACTGGCATTTTTACAATCTGAAGTTCCCCTTTAAATGACTTAATTTTCTCTAACAGAAATACTGCCACCAAGAAACTCCTTTAACAGGAAAACAAAAGGAGCAAGACTGAGACTTGATCAAAAAGTGGCAACATCCCCTTATCCAACGGATTGCAGACCAGTCCGTGCGGGCTCCTTTAAATTTTTCTGTACTTTCTAATCTTTGTTTCAGTGAACAATTACATTTATAACCAGAAAAATAAAATTTGAAAAGTCAAGAAAGCTGTCTTGTACAGTTTAGAAGTCTTTTCATTAAGACAGTGTGAAATTGTCAAGTTAAAAAAAAAAACAAAAAACTTTTAACTGCTTGGAAAATTGCAGCTATCCTGAATGACTCATCCCCACACATGCCATACACATACTTTTAGGGAAAATGGGATCCATGCCAGGTGTTCAGAGCATTATGGGAAGACTGATCTAAAGCCACATTATTTACTTACCAACTCTGAACCAACCCCACCGAAGGGCGGTTAAGCAAGTTATCCGGCAGAAGATTAACTTCTCTCATTGTGTTGGCCAGTCTTACAGGAAGCTCCTTTCGTAGAAACATATATGAAGTTTTCTCACATGCATTATCTCTCCCTGTTAAGAGACAATAAGTGTTCCATGATTTTATAATCTAACAGATGGAATAATAAAGTGCTCTCATGATAGCATGGTTACTGGTTAGGAGGAGAAAATTAAACAATCCTGCAGTCTCTAGTGAAATTTTTATCCTCTGAAATTGCAAGTTTAAGAAAATAATCTAATTAGAATAGAAAAAGAACATTTATTCCAAGAGGCAACCTTGAAAGCAGTTTTTTTTTTTAACACAAATACATTTCTAGTGTTACCGTTAGTGATACAAAAATGACCTGGGATATAATCTGAATTTGTTTTCAAATAAACACTGTGGGAAAACTGCCAAGTACAAAAGTAGGAAAACATGTAAATCCACTCCTGTTCACAGGGGTTTCCAGAAGGCAAAAGACCCATTCATTCCACAAATATTCACCACCTGTGTGTCAACTGCTTCTTCCTAAGGTTTTCTTCAAATGTGTTTCTCCAGGAATCAGAGCTTTGTCACCCTGGGAAGCAGCCACAGACCTGCTCTGATTAAGACACGGGGCTCAGGATGTGCCAGAGAAAGCAGCTCACAGGTGCGCTCAGCAGCAGAGCGATCTACTCTGATATGTCCCAAGAGGTAAGACCCAGTGTTGACCATAAAGACAGAGGTCACAGAGTCTTCTGTTGGTTGCCCTGAGCTGGTTGTGCGTAAAACTTATATAACTAGGACACAGTGAGAGAAAAGGGACACAGCCACCTGAATGAGGAAACCCGAGCCTCTTCCCCAGCTGCTTTGACCAGAGCAGCATGGCCCCCAAGTCCTGCTGTAAACCTGATGATGGCTGGGGGACGGGGGACATGAGAGAAAGGACATGAGCTTTGGGGACAGAAATGTGCTTCAGCCCCAACTCCTCCATTTTGGGGGTAAGAAACCTTTGGTAAGCTTAATTGCTCTAAATCACAGCTGCCCTAACCTGTAGAATGGGGATGGAGTTTCAGTTTTTGTAAAGACTAAATGTGGTAACAGGTATGGAGCCTGACACAAAGCAGGTGATCAATAAACATTAGTGTTCTGTCCTCTGTGATACTTACGGGTCCATCCCAACTCCCTCACACTCCATAGGCCTTCCTGATGCTCCATACTGCTGGGAGGCTGTTTGGAGATGGGCAACCTTGGGGCCAGGCCCAGAGACAAACAAGTAAGGCTCGGGGAACACTTCTCTCCTCCAAACTCTCCTCATTCTTCCAAATATGATACAGGCCGCAAACCAGAGATCCAGAAATAAATCTGATTTGCTAACACTTGCAGCCAAGTTCTGGTTTATTCCTTTCCTCTCCCCACTGAATAAGACTAGAAATAAAAGAACCCACTCATGAAAGTCATCTGCAGAATCATTCTTTCCCCCCACTGACCCCTGAGCCCCCTTCTCCATGTTAAAAAAGTTAGAATAAAAGATTAGTCTTACACAATCCATCCCTTACTTCCCTCATTCTAGGTGAATATACTGAAGGCCTTCGGTGCGTCTTTAACTCATCAATGATTCTGTCTTCCACTTTTCCCCTGAGTGAGGAAAAAGGGGTGTGATATCCCAGCAATGACCTTCCATCATCTACTCTATACACATTTATTTGGCTCCAGATGATTAACATTTAAAAGGACTCTGGCTGTTTTGCTTCAGATAATATGTATCATTCCTAAAACGCTCTGTAGGATTCTTATAGACGAATCATTTTAAGTGCACTAAAAGTGCTGATACTTAAATCACAGTGAATCGTACCACAAAATGAAGGACCTGTTATTATCTAAGGTAAAATGTACATCTAACTTTTCACATGCCAGGACAAACACTTTGCATCCTGGTTAAATAGAAAGGACACCTTTTTTTCAAGCATAGAAGAAATGTCTCCGTTCTCCCTGTAGGAGAAGCAAGTGAGGGAATGCAGGAGGAGAGGAAGGGGCTCACGGGGGTTGAACTGGAACTGTGAGTAGCAGTATGAACTCAGGATTTGAAAAAATTATCTCAGTTTTTTGGACATTAAAGTTTACGTGTTTCAACTGCCATGTCCACAGCATATTAGGAGCCGCAAACTGGAAGCCTAGGGCGGGGTGGGGGGGTGGGGGGAGAAGTGGGAGCTGGCTGGCAGGTGGCAAGGGGCCGTCAGGCCACATTTGTGTTGGAAACGCACAGGGCTAGACTGTTTCAGAATGTCAAGGTTTTCCGACTTTCGGAAGGTAAAAGGAGTATGTACATCCACTGTCTATGATATAGACACGATACAGCTGCGGTGAAATCATTTAAATGGAGCAGAAAAAAGACCATGGCCTGAAGTAAGTTCAGGTCATGTTTTGCCACCAAAGGTATGAAAAAACAACTACAAGTTTTAGAGCCTTTTTTTTTTTTTTTAAAGATTTTGTTAGAGAGCGAGCGTGCGCGCGAGAGCGTGCACGCGCACAAGCAGGGGGAGTGGCAGGCAGAGGGGGAAGCAGGCTCCTGGCTGAGCAAGGAGCTTGATGCAGGACTCCATCCTTCCAGGACCCTGGGATCATGACCTGAGCTGAAGGCAGCCGCTTAACCAACTGAGCCACCCAGGCGGCCCAAGTTTTAGAGCTTTTTGAACTTCAGAATTCAGATAAAAGACAGGAGACCTCCAGAACAATATATTAGGCCAAGATCATGTGCCAGAGTTAGACTTGGGTTTGACCGCTGACTTGAGCCTCCCGAGCTTTATGGACGTGGCAAGTGTCATTACACTTCTAAGCCCCTGTACAGTCGGCTACAGGAACACTACCTACTTCATAGAGGTGTAGTAAGGGTTAAAAAGTGCTTAATATATAACACCACAACCTCTTAAAATTTAGAAGAGGGGGCTCATTAAAGAGCCAGCACTAATGATTGCAAAGGATGATAAAGCAGAACAGCCTGAGGCCATGGGGCGCCAGAGCAAATAACCTGATACTTGCTAAGCCCTGAGAGCTCTGCTACATTCTGGTCCAGTGCGGTTGCCTCTGCTCATTTGACGATTCTACATAATTAAAAAGGGATTAAAAGGGATTAAAGTATGTTGTGTCCCTACCATCCACTTTTATTTATTTTAAAATAAAAGGCCTTTGGTCACCTCTGAACTAACTAGAAAATTCAACGACTAGGTATGGTCTAAGATAACCAAATACCAGGAGGCATTTATTCTAGCCCTCTTGGATTATCAGTTTGTTATGAACGAGCAGAGAAAGAACCGTGTTTTGTCTCTGTATCCCCCATGGCAGCAATGAGAGGACTTGACCTATGGTAGTTTCTCAATGATTTACTGGGAAGATAGAGAATACTTTTAATACTTTTTAAAAAAAGAATACCTGAAAAATCTCAGGTTTTGCCTCCTACATTCTCACTTAGCTTTAGAGATGAATTCTTTGTACTCAGATACCTTAATTACACATCAGTTTAAACAAGGGGGTAAGCCTTTTTTAGTTAATTAGTGAACTTAAAAATAAATATGAAAGGTCCAACATTTTTTTAACCTTTCTGTGGTTTTCATGGAAGTTGAAAGTATTTTGTCCTATGTACTAATGCTGGATACTCAATTTAAATCAAAGAGTTCCAACAATCTTTTTTTGGTTTTTTGTTTGTTTTTTACTCAACTTAAAAAAGTTTTTTGGTTTTAATTTAATTTGGTTTTAATTGAATGTCCTCTATGAGGCTTCAGGTTTTATAAGTCTTCTGGCATACTATTTTCCAGTGATTCTTTCCAGTTATTCAGCTTCATTTTTTCCCCACTTACTTGCCTTCTCTACATTCCTTAATTTTGATTTTCTATTTTTATTCTGCATTTCTCTGTATGCTTCACCTTATTCAATTTTACCAATTAAATTTTTTCCTAGCATCAGTTCAGAGGATGATGAAAGAGTGGGTGAGGGGCAGGGAACATTCTCTGATTTGGTGAATGCAAATAAGTCATTGTAGTTTAACTGCATTCATTTGTATTTCTTCAGGTTTTCATGCTCATTTGATGACCCTTCAATTCTCTTCTGTTCTCTGTTTTTCTTTTTTGTTTAAAGATGTATTTATTTATCTGGGGGGGGGGTGGGACTTTCAAGCAAGTGCAGGGAGCCATCTCGGTGACAGTTACGGTTAGAAAGGAGCGTTTGACCAGCCTTCTGAGAGCAAGAGTTCAGACTTACTCTTTATACCTGGTTTCCAGAGAGGCCTGTATGTCTGGTAAATCTTTAATCCTCTTTCTGATTAATTTACAGGAAGCAGAATATTTCTCCAATTAATAAAGTGACCTGATAATGTATCTTACAATTAAAGCAGAGGGTTGAGCACATGCCCCCCAAAATGGAGAGTCTCCTGTCTAGATTACTTGAGGGCTCTCCTTGTCCACATCTTTCAGTTTTAACACTTGCTGGGGATGGTTTGGAAGAGGTAATAAGAGAATCAGGGAGTGAAAAAGGAGAGCAAGGAAAGAAAAAATTACAGCAAGGCATCAAAAACCAACAGAATGATCAGCTCATTCTAGTTATGCTGTTTTTTTTTTTTTTCTAAATACTGCCAATTAAATGTTTGAGTCTGCAATGTATTTTTACCATTAACCATGCTAAAATGGGTAAAATATAACTGAGAAAATACTTTAGGGACAGCTCTGATTTTTCTCCAGTTACATCTTTGATAAGATTTCAATCTTTTGAAAACACTGAATTTTAGAATCATAAGTAATTAAATTTTGGCTAAGCAATGATTAATTGAACTGTCCTTCAAAAGAAAAGCTTCGCATATTTTTAAAATGTTTACTCTATGTCTAGAAATACTTCGCTGTTTGAGAAGTTTCAGTTTTCTTTAGAAAAATTTATTCCTGAATATAAACAGAGATCAATAGAGGTAGCTTGGGTCTACCAAACTTGAGGCTGTCTCCACTCTAGGCCAGACTGTGTTTTGGTTATTATTACTAATGGTGAGCCAGAAACTTCAGAACCAAAGAGGCCAAAGACTGCGGATTTCACACACACCTCATTCCCTATCAAATTTAATGCCCCAACAACA